GTGGGTATCCAGTTGTCCAGCACCAAGTGTTGAAGACTAGTTTTTCCTCTTAAATGTTCCAGACATTCTTATCAAAAATCAGCCGATCACAGATGTGTAGGTTTGTTTCTGGACTCTTAGTTCTATTTCTTTGATTTGTATCTGTACCTTTTTTTTTTTTTTAAGTGTATTTATTTTGTGAGAGAGTGCACGGTTGCGTGCAGCATGCAAGTGGGGGAGGGGCAGAGAGAGGAAGAGAGAGAATCCCAAGCAGGCTCCGTACCGTCAGTGTGGAGCTGCACCTGCAGCCCGATCCCATGAACCGTGAGATCATGATATGAACTGAAATCAAGAGTCAGATGCTTACCCGACTGAGCCCCTCAGGCGCCCCTTGCGTGTCTATACTTAATGACAGTACCACACTGTTTTGGTTGCTGTGGCTTTGTAGTAAGTTTGGAAATCAGGAAGTGTGAGTCCTCCAACTTTGTTCTTTTTATTCCCCCCAAGATCATTTTGGCTATTTAGGATCACAGAGTTGTAGTCTTTGTTCTATCCTAAGGAGGCTGTTGGAGGATTTGGATAAGGTCCAGAGAAGATTAATTAAAATAATCATGGGTTGTAATAGGCTATTCTTATCAGTTTGGTCTGTCTGACGGATGCTATCATCTGGAAGGAGGAGGGCCAAGAGGCAGTTTATGATCAAGTCGCAAGATCATGAAGAGAAAGGGCTACGCCAGCTGATTTTGGCACTATGTTGGCTACTGTAAAAGTAGAAGGTGAGCCCAGTGAGGTTTGAAAGAGGCAAGCTTAGTGTGCCCAAACAGGGCAGTGCTCCATTCTAGTACAAAATTGATGAAGCTTATTGTAATTCCCCAAGGAGCAGTTGATATAAGCTAAAAATCATAAATCCTGTCGCTTTAAAGCGTTTTAGAACATTTGTGGACCTTTATCTACCCGGACAAATGTGGCCGTTTTGTGGCTCACTTCTTACCTTTTGAGGTTGGTGCTGCCACCCTGCACGCCCCCCTACCCTGTCCCCTGGAGATGCAGTCTAGGGCAGAATAGCGGGCTGAGTGGCCGTGAGTCCATGCCTGTATGGTGGCGCTTGGGAATTCCCATGAGCCACACCCTTGCTGCGTGTCCTCCCCGTGTAGGCCAGCGGGTCAGAGAGAGAAGACCCAACCCCAGTGTCCTGCCTGCGGTGGGATTGTCTTTGCTGAGAGCTGGCCATGTCAGTGTCTCCATAACATGCACCTAGACAGCAGGCTGCTCAAGTTGGGACTTGTTGGTCTTCCGCCAAACACAGCCTCTCTCATGAATCAAATTTGCATCTACATCCTCCCACATACCACCTTCTCATCATATTTTAGAGCCACGTTCAAATCTCGCTTAGGTGGTTTTGTCTTTAGTTCCGGTTTGACTGACTTGTTTATAACAAAATGCTGGGCTAGTGAGACTGTCGTTCTGACCACTTTTTAACTTGGTTGTGTCTAGAGTGATTTTGATACTCCTCTGTGATTGGTTTTCCAAATTGTGTCATTTCTACTACATAACTCTTTGGTTATGGAATACGGAAGAGTTTTAGGTATGTATGTATGGTTTATATGCACGCGTGTAGACTGATTTAACCTGATGAGTCACTGTGAAGTAGGTTATAAAGGGCTATTAGCATTCATTAGTCCAGATTTAGCTTTTCAGAGAAATCATGATTAGGTTTGTGATTTAGTGTACTGTACGTTTACAGTAAATTCAGGTATTTTTATAATTTTATTATCACTTATTTTGAAAAACGAACATTAACGCAAGACTAGCCCTAACATCTGTCTTTAAAGTTCAGGAAAAAGTATATAACATTTAAAGCACCACTTCCCATTGTTGAATCAGTGATTCAGACAGTGTGAATTTAAAAACAAACTGGATTCATATTTCAGCTGGAGGATGTAGAGGTCATCTAGTTCACTCCCTTCTTTCTGGTCAGTCATGAGGAAAGTGAGGTTCAGGGAGGTTAAATGACTTGCCCAATGCCACACGACAAGTTACTGGCAGAGCTGAGACCAGAACAGCAGTTTCTTGCTGTGCCTGCTGTGGTCTTACTGTAACTTGCCACTTCCTAATTAGTGGTTAAAGAGACACGTTTGTGCATGTGTGTGTATGTATGTGTGTGTGTGTGTGTTTGAGTTTTACATTGAGAGGAGAGATTAAAATTTACTGAACACCTATTTGCTAAGCACTTTTGAAATGTATTATTTCATATAGTTCTACATAGTCCTGTAAAATAATTATTAACAGCCCCACTTTACAGATTAGGAAACCAGGGTGCTCCAGGTCATGTGATTAATGTTAGCGCTGGTATTTGAGCTTGGCTCTTTCTGACCTGTGCCTGCCATGATACCCTGCTGTGGCTCTACTAGTAGTAACTGAAACCTTTTCAGGGGTGTGGGCAGTAGTGATGGTTATCTTAAAATCCATCTTTTTCAGACTTCTCCCTCACTCTGTAAAATGTATAGATGTACACAGATGTGCACAGGGAGAGTCTTTCTCAGAATACTCACAGCACTTAGCGGATGTTTGGCTAATCTTCATACCATCTCTGTAAGATAAATGGTATTTTCTGGTTAGGCGGCTGAGGCTCAGATAGATTCAGGGACTTGCCTAAGTCCTTATCACGAACCCGCATGGCCCCGCTCCCAGTTCCGTTCTTCGTCCCGTCTCACATAGATTTCACCACTTTTGTTCTTTCCTGTCTTACACCAAGATTGTTTAAGTACTTCCCAAAAATAATGAGCCACGTGTGGGTGTGTTCGTTCTCCAGAATGAATCACTGTGAAAGAGGCCGTGAACCAACGAAGGGAGAATAAATATCTGGAATCAGAGACTCTTGGCTCTCCTGTCTAATTGACAGACTCAGAAGTGAGCTTTTTTTCAAAAGGCGGCTACGGGTCTGGCCTGTGTGTCCCACTGTGCTCAGAATAGCCCTCTTGGAGTTGTTCGTTTTCCCTTCTTGCTTCCCAAAATAGCCCGATGCTGTTCTCTGTGCTGGATGTCACGGCACATGTATTGAGAGGTGTGCGCTCCACGGGGAACCCCGTTGTGCCTGAATGTCCACACCAAGGGGAGGGGCAGTAGCTTTCTTGGATTACCGGTCAGGACTCCGGTGTGAGTAGAAGAGGTTTGGCTCGAGTATTCAGAGAGTTGCGGAAGTAAATTTCAGCTGGCAAGAATAAAAGGGGAAGCAAATAAAGGCATTTGGGGGAAAACGAGGAGAGTTCTTCGTCTTTCCTGTGTCTAAAAAGGGTTGGAATCGAAGTTTAGGAAGAACTTACTTTTAAAATTCCTTTTATGATTTGGATCCTAGTCTAAAGGGTACCTGCTTTAAACTTCCTGCCCTTAAAATAGAACGCTACTCTTACCCTTCAGCAGGTAGCTGCGTGCTTTGGAATTCCTCCCAGAAGAAAGGGCTTTGATCGAAGGCCTTACGGTAGAGGATCCACAGCGGCCGTTTACCTGTCAGTGTGCGGGTGCGCTCTGCTTTGTTTCCTTGGGTGGGAATGGCGAGGGATCGCGTCATTTATAGAAAGCCTGGGGAAGGGGGCTTGGACACTGAGATATTTAGAATCGGTCTTTGGAACTGAAAAGCCGAGAGATGCCTTCTAGTGTATTGCAGGAAGAGACAAAGATAGACTGTTTACAGCCTGAAGGGGTAAGTTACAACAGGCTAGTTTTTCATGGGATTGGTCGTAAATGTCTCTTCTCTAGGGGCTTCGGTTTGAATATATTCCCACCTGGTAGCCAGATATTATTCACTGAGTGTTCAGTCCGAGACTTGGGTGGGCTCTGCCACCTCCATTCCCTGATGGGTGGGTGCTTCATTTGGCACTAAGTCCCAACCTAAGTGTCCTAGTGGCCACAGCCACACGCACTCCCTCTGGTTCCAAGAGGTCAGGGCTAGGTTAGGCCCATGAGAGACAGTGTTGGGGAGAACCAACTGCTGCTGTCTGTGCTATTCTTGTTAGATGGATAAATAAAGGATTTCAGATTCCAGGGCTGCTGAACTGGCTTTCAGAGGCGCCAAATTCATTTACAGTAATTTCCTGTCAACAGGGCACACTTATGTATAAAACACACCCAGCAGAACTCATTAGTCCCAGAGATGATTGCATACACTGCCTATTTGGAAAGATGGATGGATGGATGGATGGATGGATGGATGGATGGATGGATATTATATTTTAAATGTGATATCCAGGGGCCTTCCAGAGTAGGTTGAATTTATTGAACACATTTTATATATTTGCTCATTTCATCCTTACAATAACTTGATGAGGAGGGCATTAATATCGTCTTTGGAGGTTATTCTTTTTGTCCCTCATGAGAGGTGCACCTGCCATGAACTAAAGGGAGGAGGAGGATGTTGGACTAGTGGGCGGGAAGCGTTTCAAAGGAAGTGATGGTTAAGCTGAATTTTAGAGGATTTGTGAGAAGTAGCCAGGAAAAAAAGCATTGCAGCAAAAGAATGTGTGAGAGCATGCATACTGCATTCAGAAAACGGTGGGCATGCCTAATGCTGGAGAAAGGAGATGGGGTCGGTGAGCCATTGTCAAGTGAGGAAGCCTGGATGGTTTGGGGTGGGGCAGGAGGTGGTGGCCTGTGTCTTCCAAGGGGAAGGTACCTTCCTCTAGTCCTCAGGCGTCTATTTAAAGGAAAGCTTCTTTCCCAGCCACAAAATAATGTGTGATAAGTCTAAGGCAAAGTTCAAAAGGTCCTTTCTCTGTTTCTCACAGGCATAAGATAGGGAGGACACTTAGAAGAAAATGGTAGGGCTTGCAAGCCTGCTTTCTGCACTGAATAAACAGGTGAAAAGTTTGTGCTCCCGTTGACGGTGTCCTCTTTCTGGCCCTCTCTCTATAAAAGCTCCTTATTTGGGAACATCCAGTATGCTAAAGGATTATGTTCTAAGTCTGGAAAGGGACCTAGGATAGGATCTCACCGTTAATGTCACCGTATTCCCAAATTTCCTGCAGCTCTGCAGTGTGCATGTACCAGCTGCCTCCAGGCCAACTACACGTGTGAAACAGATGGGGCCTGCATGGTTTCCATTTTCAACCTGGATGGGATGGAGCACCACGTGCGCACCTGCATCCCCAAAGTGGAGCTGGTCCCCGCTGGGAAACCCTTCTACTGCCTCAGCTCTGAGGACCTCCGCAACACCCACTGCTGCTATACTGACTTCTGCAACAGGATCGACCTTAGGGTGCCCAGTGGTGAGTGGACACCCTTGTTGGACTATTGGCTCATCCTGGAGGTAGGGCACCCCTGTCATTTCGTCCTTCTCTACTCTTCCCTAATCCCTTTGTTTGGTGATAGGTAAAGGTACCTTTTTGATGTTCCCTAAGGTGACAAGGGGATAGGATTCTTCCCAGGTCAGATTTGTAGACAAGAGGTTGAGGGAGGCAGACTGTCAAGGTTGTCCCAGAGGTGGAAGCTGCGCTTTGGAGACTGGCTGAACAGCCATGGGCAGCTGGTGAGGGGTGGGAGAGCCAGGCAGGGATCCCCATGGAAAGGTATGTGAAGGCAGCTGCTGGGTGAGGGTGATGGCGGGATGGGAAGAGAGGCTGGAGTTGGAAGAGAAGGACAGCGATCCAGGCTGGGAAGTTTTAGGTGGCACCCCTTTGCAAATGTGCCATTTAGAAGGCATTACTGGGGAGATCGGAGGAGGGGGTACTTAAGGCTGCAGAGCCTAGCACAGCTGTCACGAGTGGAGGCACAGAACCTGGTGTCTGTCTGGGACACTGAGGCGGGATAGGCCCGTGAAAGGCAGGCGGTGGCACAGTGCCTTGTGAGCGTGATTGCTGAAAAGGGCCCCTTCACTGGAGAGGTTTGCATTTGAGAACATCAGGCAGACACATAGCCCAGTGAGACCTGGGAGATCGAGGGCACCTTGAATGCAGGGAGAGGGAAAGGGTATTCGCACGTGGAGGGAGGTGTCGGGGACAAATAAGGCCAGAGCTTTCCCATGTTTTTACTGTGTTCTTTCCCTCTCCTCTCTCACTTGACCCAGGTCACCTCAAGGAGTCTGAGCACCCTTCCATGTGGGGCCCCGTGGAGCTGGTAGGCATTATTGCTGGCCCAGTGTTCCTCCTGTTTCTCATCATCATCATTGTTTTCCTTGTCATTAACTATCATCAGCGTGTCTATCACAACCGCCAGAGACTGGATATGGAAGATCCCTCGTGTGAGATGTGTCTCTCCAAAGACAAGACGCTCCAGGATCTTGTCTACGATCTCTCCACATCAGGGTCTGGTTCAGGTACTGAGTTCTCCAGCGGTTGTGTGTGTTGTTGGTTTTCGTCACTGTTCCCCAGCAGGATAGAGCATTTCTGAAGACTGGGCCTTGCCCTTGTTTCTGCCAGCACTGAGGCGTTTGGTTTCATAATTCCCCTTCTTTTAGAGTCTGATATGTAATAAGATAAAGGGTTCACAGAAAATCTTTCATTCCCTGGGATTCCAAAGGTCAAGTGCAAAACTCTCCACTCCAGAAATCGTGCCTCTTTTCAAGTCTTGTAACTGTATGTCTATTAAAATTCACCTGGTTCCACCTGAGCAGTGGAGTGCTCAATTTAAGGGCCCCTTTTGAGAAACAGGAGTGTGCCGGGTTTCTCTTGGTGTGGTGACAGCTAATCATTGATCTCCGAGCAACCACAAGGGGAGTTTAAGGACATTGAGTAAAGCTGAGAGCTGGGATTTGGTGAATCATTGACTTGTACCAGTTGCCCAAGGGTTTTTGGGGGAGGTTAAATAAAGGCAACTTGGGCTTGCAGCAGGCTATCAGCACCATTTCCTGTACTGCCTGTTGGTAACCGAGTCTTTGTCAGATGAGAGAATTGAACCGAACCCTGGACCTTGATGTGAGCCCAGAATTCAGGATAAAGGGGCTGGGGTCGCTCACGTCTCAGGGTATACCTCAGCTGGCTATTAGATGTGAAATGACTACAAAAGAGTCTTTTTATGAAAATAAACAATTATTTTAGTGATGGTGGTATTCTGTTCTTGTAAAAAAAAAAAGTCATTTGCAAAGGTCACTATCGCCATTCTAGCTAAAACACACAGAATTATATTGTGAGGATTTTGTACGTGTTTATGTAGGTTTCCTTGCCATGTGACAAGACTATTGTTCTGTAGGGAAATTATGCCATCAGTCATGGGCAGACATTCCTCCTTGAACACAAGGAATACTTTGAGCTGTGACATCTCCTGAATTTCAGTGGTTTTGCCTTTATTAAGCTCTGCAGTAGAGAGTGCCAAAATGATGGATATATTTAAAAGCTGCATATTTTTAGGAAGAGAGAAAATATATGTCTTGTTCTTTGCTGAAAGAGGTAGGGCAGTGGTTAGAACTGCCTGACTGACTCTGTGACTTGATTTGCTGTCACAGGAGGGTACCTCAGGTTTTCTGGGGTCTTTTTTAAGATCAGAACTAGCCGAAGCTAGCGAAGGTCCATGGTGGTTACTTAGTCATCCGGAGTAAAATGATTAATAACTATTTCTCCCTGGATGGTATAGTCCGTTATCAATCCCAAATATGCAGAGTTTCCAAGGTGCTGGAGTTTTAATACTGTGGTTTTTAAAGCAGTAAGTCCATGCTGCTTATGTGACTTTCGATTCCCTTTAACAAATATATGCTGAATACCCTCCAGGTGATACAGGGTAAACAAAGTTGAAAAAAGCTGACCCGGAATTGGGTAGAAGAGATAGGGATTGCTGGGAAGGGCCTCATGGGGGAGGATGCACTTAAAGGGGTCTTGAAGACCGAGTTGGAGGTTTAAGGAAGTAAGAGGACAGGGAACGTTCCAGACCAAGGAAAACCCCTTGAGCAAAAGGACAAAAAGGCACGAAAGTTCACTGTGTGTTTAGGCATGACCTGTCCAACTGGAGGATGGGGACTGGCAGGCCAGGCCAGGTGGGAAGGACCTTGGGTGCTGTGCTTTATCCAGTAAGGTAAGAGGCATCCACTGGAAGTTTTCATGTGGCAAAAAGTAAATGTTCGTATTTTCCTGTGGAAGGAATTCTGGCAGTGGTGTGGAGGGTGAATTCACTCATTTACCAACCTCCTGTTAGGGTAGGGTGAGGCAGGGCTGTCTGTGGGTATGCAGGGCAGGAGCAGGGTGACGAGGGAGGTGGAGAGACCAGTTGGGAATCTTTTAAAGAAGGGTCAGAACTTGGACGGGCACAGTGGGGATGGAGAGGAGGGGTCTGACGGGAGACATTTTGGTGATTCTATACTGTTGTAGTTAAAAGCATCAACTTTGGAGTCAGACAGTTCTGTAGGTCTAGGTTTTAATCCCTTCTTTGCCTCTTGCAGCTTGTGTGAATTCAAATGAGTTACTTAACTCTCCCCCCCCTTTTTTTTTAATGTTTGTTTATTTTTGAAGGGGAGAGAGAGAGCAAGTAGGGGAGGGGGAGAGAGAGAAGGGGACAAAGGATCCGAAGCAGGCTCCAGGCTCTGTGCTGACAGCAGAGAGCCTGATGCGAGGCTCAAACTCACGAACCATGAGATCATGACCTGAGCTGAAATCAGACGTTCAACCGACTGAGCCACCCAGGCACCCCTTAACTTTCCCTTTCGAGCCTTAGTTTTCTCATCTGTAAAATGGGGATAATAACACCATCTAACTTATATAGGTGGTTGTGAGGAAAGGAGATAATTTATCTAAAGCTTTTATCATAGTGCCTAGTGTGTAGTAAGCATCCACATCCACAGGACTTAGGGATTAATAACATGTTTATTTGGTCTGGGAGAGGAAGTGAGAATTCAGAGTCAGTCATGATAGTAAGTGTGATTGGATAGATTGCATGAAGCAATAAATGAGCCCTACAAAGACAGTAAAATTAATCTTAGGATAAGCATGGGTAGTCTTGAATTCTGTGTGTCTGGAGCTTGACCTGTGAGCAGAGCTTTGATCTCTTAGGAAAGAGGTGGGAGCCTCGTAGGCCCAGTTTGGTTCTCATGGGCCACATGGCACCGCCCTCTAGTGGCCACTGAGCAGAATGGCCGGAGGCACCCCTGGGGCTCAAGCCCCGTCTCTCTCATCCTCTCTGCCCTCTTTCCTCTAAAGTCTGCATAAAGCAGATGTGGGTGGACTGGCCCACAAGAGGCCGGCTGCAGAGTTGATAAATCTGATCGGGGGTTGTGTGCAAGTCTGTCGTCCGTACTAACTGAAAGGAGAAATTGTTTAAATGAGGCACAGCTGATCGCATGTGTTTCCCTTTCTGTGTTCATTCACCCCCAGTCTCTGCCTGGCTTCGCCCCTGCTGGCTTACCTGGACGTGGTGTGGGGCACCCTCAGCTCTCCACGGTCAGCGGGCCAGGGTAGAGCGGGGGCACTGTGTGGTACCGGCCTTTCCAGTGTGGCAGTGAGGGTGGGAGTTGCAGAGTTTAGCGAATTTACGGCATCTGCTTTCTTTCCATTCTTTGGTCCCCAGGGTTGCCCCTTTTTGTCCAGCGCACAGTGGCCCGAACCATCGTTTTACAGGAGATAATTGGCAAGGGCCGGTTTGGGGAAGTGTGGCGTGGCCGCTGGAGGGGTGGCGATGTCGCGGTGAAGATTTTCTCTTCTCGTGAAGAACGGTCTTGGTTCCGGGAAGCAGAGATCTACCAGACAGTCATGCTGCGCCATGAAAACATCCTTGGATTTATTGCTGCTGACAATAAAGGTAAAGAGCTGGGCTGGGAGCGTGTCCCAAAGCCAACAGTAGTCCCAGATGCAGGGGGTGACTGGGGAAGTTGAACAGCTGTGGGACTGCACTGCTCTGTTTGCCTTCGTGGTTGTTACTAGTAGAAAGAGAATCTGAATAAGCTGCGAGTCCTTCCAACTTTTCTTCTCTGCAAAGCTTATACAGAAAGCCAGGCTATTAAGCAAGCAGTTACTAAGCAGATAAACAAGATGAACCCCTTAGCCCGCCTGCGCCCTTCCCCTCCCCCCTAGTGGAGTCCCTGTAGGGGTTCCAGTTAATTTACCTTGAAAACCGCTAGAATGAAGAACCGTGGTCTCTGCCCCGCCAGGGAGGGATAGCCCGGAAAAGCATGCGGTCCATGTTCTCTGACATAATCAGCATCGTCCACCCTTGCAGTGGAGCAGGCACGGCAGGGATGACCAGGCTACCCAGAACGTTGCTCCCTGATGGTCTTTCCAGCTCAGTGTTTGGTCTGCTTGTACCTGCGTCCCTGAGCTCCTCCTTCCTCTCCCTTCTGATTTTTTACTTTTTGAGTCTCTTGTATGGCCAGGAGCATCCTCGTTTTGGAGAACCTCACTGACTAGCAAAGCGAGAAGCAAACTAACAGTTGATTATAGGAAGTAGTCAAACAGCACACTGTTCTGGTGAGCACAAATTGGGGCTGAGATGGGCATCAGGGAGGTCATACCTGAACTTCATGGAGGCATCAGGAAGTATCAGGAGTTGGTCAGGAAGAAAAATCAGTGGGAAGGGCACTTGAGACACACGTGTAGAGGGAAGGTGTGTTTGGGACCCTACAAGTAACGTGGGTTGGCTGTGTGGGTGGAGAGGTAGACACCAGATTATGAAGGACCTTTTTGAGAGGATTACATCTTATTCGGAGGTAGTGGGTAGTAATTGGCATTTCGTTCTTTGATTCACTAACGTTTATTGACTACTTCCCGCTGCTCCGATCACCACACACGAGAACCGGACACAGTCCTTGCCCTCGCAGCTTCCAGATAGAGGGGACAGCAGACACATGGGCAGGTGGTGCGTGTGGAGTCAGAAAGACCCTGAGATGTTTGTGTTTACATTTTAGAAGAGTCTCTCTGGCCCTTGTGACACAGTCTGCTCCCGTGACATGGCAATTTTTAGAAGTTAGTGTCTACAAAGCTTATGGAAGATGCTAAGTATTTATTTTTCTTTCCGAAAACGACATCGGACTGCTGGTTCTTCATATTGCTGTGGGGGTTTGTAACGGCCTCAGCTGCCCCCAGGCTGAAGAGGCTCAGACTCAAACACAAGGGAAGAAGGGGAAGAGAGAATTGTATACTCCCGCTGCGTAAGCTGTGCTTTTTAAAAACAGCAGCACCTTTGATAACATTTCAATTTTACATGTAGCTTCAAGGATCAGAAGACGTCTTCCCTTAACTTTAACTTAACTGCCAGGGTCCTCACGACTTCAGGGCTGATTGGAGTGCAGGAATGGTGTGTTGGGTGGACCCCTTGTTTGTAATCAGAGAAACCAAGGTTGGTGCTCTTCCAAGAGCCACTCCCTTTATTGATTCTGGCAGCTTGTGCGAGTAGGGATCTGGCCGTAAAAACTCACATCAGGGCCAAGGGAGAAGAAAAATCGGACTCCTTCGTTTCTGCCTTTTTAGCATGATATATATAGTATAGTGTCCTGGAACTAGCACCAGCCTGGAATTGGGAGATCTCAATCCAATTTCCAATCTTCCTGTTGACAGAAGCATAACCTAATTAGATTACCAGTTTTGGGTTTTTCTTTTTCTCCTTCCTCCTTCCCACCACACGCCGCCTCCTACCTGTCACCTCATATAAAAGTGCATGGTGTCCACCTTCCATTGCTCTTCTGAGGATAAGATGACCTCTCTGGAATACTTGGAAGTGTGCCCTTCCTGCGTTGAAAAGCATTTTGGGGGGCACTTGGGTGGCTCAGTCACTTGAGCATCTGACTCTTGATTTCCGCTCAGGTCATGATCTCATGGTTTGTGAGATCGAGCTCCATGTTGGACTCTGTGCTGACTGCTCAGAGCCTGCTTGGGACTGACTGACTTTCTTTCTTTCTTTCTTTCTTTCTTTCTTTCTTTCTTTCTCTCTCTCTCTCTCTCTCTCTCTCTCTCTCTCTTTCTTTCCTTCCCTCCCTTTCTCTCCCTCCCTCCCTCTCTCCCTCTCTCTGCCCCTCTCCTGCATATATGCGTGTGCATGCACATGCTGTCTCTCAAAATAAATAAGTTAAGCATTTTGTTGTTGTTGTTTGGAATACAGTAACGCATAAAGGAGCTCTTTGCTCTTCTCCCAGAGAGTTCATTGCCTACTGGGAGCAGTGGACTAAAAGCAGACATTACAGATGAGACAGCTGCTGGGGCTAGGTTGTGCTCACAGGGTCCCGGGGCACACTGCGAGGGTCTGTGAAGCCCTCCTCCTTGGCAGCGGTGGGTGCAGCCAGTCATGGTCTAACGTGTAGATGAGTAGATCTTTTTCAGACTAAGACAGCCACCTGCAAGAAATAAGGGAGCAGGTCTAAGAATGTTGCTCTTCTGTCCTTCCTGGAGCCCCACGTTGGTGGACAAGTGTAGATGAAACGGGTATAGAGGGGGGCCTCAGGAAGTGTGGAGACTGGAAGCGTGAATTCAGGAGTCTAGTTGGAGTTTGTGTCGTTTACATATTCTTTCTTTCCTGCTTTAACCTTTTTGCTGGTAGTTGTGCCTGTTCCAGAACTCCTCTGTGGTTCTCTGCAGATAATGGCACCTGGACACAGCTGTGGCTCGTCTCAGACTACCATGAGCATGGCTCCCTGTTTGATTATCTTAACCGGTACACGGTGACAATCGAGGGGATGATTAAGCTGGCCTTGTCTGCGGCTAGTGGGTTAGCCCACCTGCACATGGAGATTGTGGGTACCCAAGGTGAGTGAACCCTGGTGAGTGAAGTTGAGTAGACTTTAAAAGCCTGTACCATCCTGATTTAGTTCCCAGAATTCGTCTTTACTGAGGAAGTTGGAGGTGAGCCTCAGGAACTGTGGCCTAATCTAAGGGAGAGAGGTCTGAGTTCTACATGAGAACAAGAGGTATTTCCATTGGGGTCTCTTCACCTCTGTCTTTAGAATGCCCTCAGGGGCTCTAGAACATAAAGATTCCGTTGTCTGTCATTTGATGGCCTGGCACGGGTGTTGGTTGGTGAGCTAGTGTTCTGAGTTGCCCTCTCAGGAGCCCACGGTACACGGGTAAAAGCACGGAACCCAGAAGATGAAACAAGCTAGTGCAAAGGAGCACCGGTTTGGTAATTTCAGCGTTCACCATTGGAAGCAGCTGGCTTACGGACTGCATGATGGATTAGACACTGGTCTTTACTGACCTGGGAGGGTTCTCCTGGAGGAAGAAGACCTCAGGCTTCCTCGTTTGTTGACTGTAGCATCAGTTCTCTGGGGGATCATGGTTCTCGTCAAGGTAGCAGGTGTGGTGTGCTCCCTGATTCCTGGTTGACCAGGGCAACAGCGTGTGCTGGCCCTGACAGAAAGCCAACCATTGATGTTTGATCCTGTTCCTAGCTCCCGTGAATGTAGTAATAGTAGTCCTGATCTTCACCTGTTTGACGGTGAGAACCTAGCCAGTGCAGCAGCTTCCCTTGGAATTCCTTAGCAGTTCTATCCTGGAGCATATCCGTTCAGGGAAAGTGGGGGCGGGGGTAGTGATAGTGGTAACAGCTAATACGCATGCCCTTCTAAGCTCTTCACTTACCTACACTAATGCGTTTAATCCTCACATTACCATGAAGTAAGGACTGGGGTAGCCTTATGGATGAGAAGGCAGAGGTGCAGATGGGTTAAGTCGCTTTTTTAGGGTTACTGGATTAGTGGGAGGCAAAGCCAGGACTCGAACCCACATAATCTGGCTGCAGAGACTATGCTTTTAACATTTATACTATCTCTCTGTAAAGATCCCTATGTTTTTCTCTGTCAGGGAAGCCTGGAATTGCTCATCGAGACTTAAAATCAAAGAACATCCTGGTGAAGAAAAATGGCATGTGCGCCATTGCAGACCTGGGCCTGGCTGTCCGCCATGATGCGGTCACTGACACCATTGACATTGCCCCAAATCAGAGGGTGGGAACCAAACGGTAGGAAGGCCCTGGGCCTCTGCCATTGTCCTACCCTTGTACCGAGTAGCACCTGTGTGCCCTTTCCCATGTGCACGGGAGAAAGAAGCATAGAAAAGGAGGTGTGGCCCTTGCTCTCAGACAACTGAAAGCTGAACTGAAGCCCTACTCCCCACAGTGGAAAGCTGAACTGGTTGCATCTAACAGATACGAGTGCCATGAGCACAGCTTCGTAGAACTATATACACATAGCTGTTCCTGGGCAGGGGGAGGCAGCAGAGAAAGAGAATCTAGAAAAAGATTTGGAGGGGGGACAGGCACCCGGCTTGGCTAGGACAAGAGGAAGCATGTGCAGTCCAAAGGGGTACTTGTGCAGAGACCCCGAGAAGGTAGGGATTGTGTCTTGCTTGGGGGTTAGAGAGCAAGTCTGCCAAGCCAGAGCAGAGGTGATCTTAGGGTGGAGATTGGGGGCACCTTTAGGATGATGGGCCTACTTCCCACTTCATACAGAAGTGAAGTAAGAAGTAAGGAATTGTGATTGCAGACTGACTTTGTGAGTTGAAAATGGGACTGTCTTGTAATGGGACAGAAGAGGAGATCTGTTTACCTGTCAAATCTCCATGAACTTCACTAGATTGTGCTGCTGGTTTTCCCCTTTTGACATGAATGAGTGCAGCTACCCAGGCCCCAAAGTGTGAGGCCTGAGGTGATCCCCTGATTTGCCTTACTCTGCATGTGTGTTGGGGAGGGTGGGGGGGAGGGGAGTGGCTTGAGTAGTACTAATTAACTGAGGGAGACTTTGATGATCAGCTAGAATTAATTTTCATATATGTGTAATTAGGTAAGGTAACAAAAGAGGTTCAAAATGAAATTTAAACTCAACCCATCACTGGCTACATTTAATAAAGTCCAGGACCCTAGTGGCAACCAGATACTGGGCACTGTTATTGCCCTGTGACCCACAGTACAGATCCCTCTGCCAAGAAATCAAGACATGATTAAAATAAATCCCGGTGGCTAAAAAATAGAGGTACAAATAAGAGCAGCCTGGTATCACCTAACCTGTGCTGAAGTATTTAGATTCTAATCCAAAACATGGGAGTTTGCAATAAAGAAATTCAATCACTTGCTCCTCCCCAAGGGCCATTCTTGGGGGGATGCATTCCCACGTTCAGAGGGCCCCTGAATCACGACTTTGATTTAAGTAACGAAATCCTTTTCTGTGCATGATCTTGTTTCCTTTGCTATTGCAGATACATGGCCCCTGAAGTACTCGATGAGACCATTAATATGAAGCACTTTGACTCCTTCAAATGTGCCGACATCTATGCGCTCGGCCTTGTGTATTGGGAGATTGCTCGAAGATGCAATTCTGGAGGTACCTTTCTTTCTGGCCTTCTCTTGCTCCTACCTCCCAGTCTAGAATGCCAGATCACCTGAGGGTGCTGGTGCCTTACTGCCTCCTTTCTTTTTACAACCTGTTGGATGCCTAGTGCCAGAGCCTGTCACAACTCAGGGTTCTCTCAAAGATGAGGGAACGTTGGAGGGGGTTGTACAAGGGTGTGTTGACTCTGTTGGATAGTGTTTTGCATAGAAGTAACCATTCCGGAGGCTTGTCTGGCTTTTTTTTTTTTTTTTTTTTAAACACATCGTCCTTATTGATCCTCAAGAGGTTGGGAAAGCCCTGGGCAGGAATAGTTCCAGACTAATTCAGGGGGTCTCCTTTACACAAGAGGCACTAAGTGTGTTCTGACATGGCTCTCTAGCCACAGTGCTGGGAAATGTGGGGGTTCGTTGATAAAATAATAGTGGTAATTTCTGAATCTGGAGCAGAAAGTTTCTTATACGTAGAATTTTCTCAAAATGAGGTTTTTTCTTCCTGTAATTTTTTCTTACATTTTTGGCATTTGCACCTGTTAACCCATGCCAGAATCTAGTAAAAGGTAGTATGAGACCTAGCAGGAAACAGTTTTTATCATTAACTTAGTACTTTACAGCGACTTCCAAGTATTCTGCCATGTGAATGTGTTCAGGAACCACTAGAACCTTTCCCTCAGCTATTTATCTTTGATGTAAGAGATTCCAGGTCATTGGAAATGAAATTAAATTTAAATTAAATGAATTAAAACTGACAAGTCTTCCAGCAGAACCCTCTTCTGTATTACTGCCCTTTTCCATCTCTGATGTGTTTGGGAAGATCCAAATTATGGAGTAGCCACACAGGTATTACTCATGGAATTGTACATTTAAAATTTTTTTTTAATTTATTTTCTGGGGCACCTGGGTGACTCAGTTGGTTGGGCATCCAACTTTGACTCAGGTCATGGTCTTACGGTTCATGGGTTCGAGCCCCTCATTGGGCTCTGTGCTGACAGTTCAGAGCCTGCAGCCAGCTTCAGATTCTGTGTCTCCCTCTCTCTGCCCCTCCCCTGCTCACACTCTGTCTCTCTCTCTCTCTCTTAAAAATAAATAAACATTAAAAATTTTAAAAAATAAAATAAAAAATAAAATTTATTTTCTTAGGTGAGCTTTACCCCAAATGTGGGGATCGAACTCAAAACTCTGAGATTAAGAGTCACATCCTCTACTGACTAAGCCAGCCAGGCCACCCTAAAACTTTGATCATTCTATGCAGATAAAACAGATTAAGAAAAATCTGGTCATACAGGTCTTAAACTGTCAATAAGTTAATTTTTTTCCTTCTTACACCATTCAGAAATTGGGGCTAAGTATTATAAGAATAGATTAAAAAATTTTTTTAATATTTATTTATTTTTGAGATAGAGTGTGAGCAGGGAGGGGGGCAGAGAGAGGGAGACACAGAATCGGAAGCAGGCTCCAGGCCCTGAGCGGTCAGCACAGAGCCCGACACGGGGCTCAAACTCACAAACTGTGAGATCATGACCTGAGCTGAAGTCGGATGCTTAACCGACTGAGCCACCCAGGCACCCCTAAATAATACTAACATTTATTCACCATTCACTGTGTATAAGCTCACTTAATCTGTACTACAAACCTAAGAGGTGGTGACTATTACTGTCATAATTTTTCAGATGAAGAAAATGAGTCACAGAGATAGGTAATTTGTCCAAGGTCACACGGCTAGTAAACTCGGATTCAGACGCCGGCAGACTGAGGCCAGAGCATAGGTTCTAAAGCATCCCTTAGATGTTTACCAAGACTCTATTTAAAAATCTGCCCTACTGCAGGACACCTGGGTGGCTCCGTTGGTTAAGCGTCTGACTCTTGGTTTTGGCTCAGGTCATGAGATTGAGCCCCTTGCTTGGGATTCTCTCTCTCTCTCTCTCTCGCTCGCTCTCTCACTTTCTCGCTCTCTGTCTCTGCCCCTCCCCTGCTCGTGCTCTGTCTCTGTCTCTCAAAATAAATAAATAAGCATTTTTAAAAAATATCTGTCCTAGTAGCTCAGAACAGCAGAATTTTTCCTGGAAAAAGGCATGGGAAAGTTACGTTGGATTTTTCAAATTAGCTTATTATGGAAACTGTTTCAGTTTGTAGCTCTAAAAGATAAGGACTTAAATACAATACAGTTAATCACACTTTAAAAAGTGAACATTAATATCATTTAACATCAGTTAGTGTTGGGATTTCCCCAGCTGTCTCATAATTTTTTTAAAACGGTTTCCTCAAATCAGGGTTCAAATCATGTCCATCCACTGCAGTTGATTGATACACATCTTAAGTTTCTTGTAATGTATAGTTTCCCCCTCCACTGTTTTTCTTCTGCAGTTTAGTTGAGAAGCCAGGTCATTTGTCCTGTAAAGTTTTCCTGTCTAGATTTTGGCAACTACATTTTTATGGCATTCACGTGTTCTTCTAGTCCTGTGACTTTCCTATGATAGTTGCATCTAATGACTAGGATCATATATATTTTTCCCCCAGAGTTCTGTTACAAGGCACATAATACCAGTCATTTCTCTTTTTGTGATGTTAACAGCCACCAGTGATCATTGTTCATGAGCATATTCATTAGAGCTTGAAAAATGCCAATATTCTGATACTGTCAATCGTCATGTATTAGCTAGATTTCTTCTCTAAAGAGAAACTTCCCGTAATTGTCCCATTTGGTTACCAAGATATGTAGTTTGAATAGGGAAACCAGGAAAAATACTTGATTTTTCCCATTTATTTACCATTTTTCAAAATAGTGAACTTGTTACCTCTCATCTTACAAAGGTGACTAAGGATTTGGGTGTCCTTTTTTTTTTTTTTTTTTTAAGTATAATGAACTGGTGGACTTAAAATATTTGCTTCCATTGAAGTGATTAGTCTTACTTCTGCTTAAATATTCTCATCTTTGGCCAGTGGGAGCTTTTCAAGTTGGTGCCTTTTAACATGACCTCAGTAGTCTTTGATAGTTTGCTTGCTTTTGGTATGACAGAGATGTTCCTTACTAATCTCGTGTGTCTCTTAATCCCATTCCTGGAACCCACCAACCTTTCCAAGAGCCCTAGCTCTTCTTAGTGGGAAGTGGTATTTACCGATCATGGTGTGAGTGTTGTTACAGGTTTTTGAGTAATGCCCTCCTTCTGTTGATAACTCAGGTGGGTATTTTCTTTTCTCCCAGGAGTCCATGAAGAGTATCAGCTACCATATTATGACTTAGTGCCCTCTGACCCTTCCATTGAGGAAATGCGAAAGGTCGTATGTGACCAGAAGCTACGTCCCAACATCCCCAACTGGTGGCAGAGTTACGAGGTAGGAAGCTTCCCTGCCTCCTGTGGCTTTTCCGTCTGCCTGATTTCTCTACTTTAGAAAAGGGTTTCCCAAGTGAAAAAAAAAGAGAGAAAGAGAGAAAGAGCTTGCCAATGAGGCCATGCCCAGAGGTACCCCCCGTGTCACTTATATACTGTTATGTGCTGTTGTCTACGAATCCCAGAGGGGCCACAGTGCCTTGTCCTGGGCACTGTAGGGTCCTCTTGGGAATGGACAGCCTAGTAGAAGAAAAGGCTTGGTCCCCAGGACACAGATAAGAGGTGGTCAGCAAAAGACAGAAATAAAAACTGGGTGGGAACCATTAGACCGGTCTAGCTAGAAAGATGGCTCTGGAACCACAGGGACGAGCTGAGCTCTGTGGAAGAACCAAATAGAGGCATCCAGAAAAGAAGCGAAGCTCAGACTGGGCATAGAAGAATGGCAGGACAGGACTTAGAAGGCATGTCTGTGAGGGAGGTGGCCTTTCTAAAAACTCAGAAGGGAGGAGGGTGTGGAGGATTGGAATTTGGGGGAGATACAGATGGAGTGGGTCAGGGACAGCATTTGGGGGAAATAATTGAAATGAGGACAAATTCATGATACAGGTTCCAAATAAACATGGCATTCTGGGGTCTTAGAGTCTTCAGGGCCCTCGTGGCTCTGCTTTTAGAAAGGACTCTAACCACTAGAGGGCATTTCTGCATTTTAGAACAGAATCGCTGAGCTCACATTTTAGGTGGTGTCTTCTCGTCGCGTAATAGAGCAGCATTTTCCAAAATGTTCCTCGGAGCCCTCAGGTCAGGGTTTCAGAGGATGAGGGTGAGGCTGAGAGAACCGGTCTTCAGCTTCCCCCATCCCACAACCTCTTCAGTCAGTTTTTGAAATTTTGAAAACCACTGGCCTAGGACAGCAGTCAGGGACCTTTGTCACCCTCGGTCACCAGTAGAGGTCCATAGGTGGCCTTCCAAATCCATCTCTTGGCCTGACCACAGTGGTCGCCCGTGTGGTCCAGGCGGTGGCAGTGTGGCTTTCCGCCTCTGACAGGATTGCTTTTTAGGGGCTCCTGTCCTGCTTCTTCCCCACCCCCATCCCGTCCGTGCACATGAGCCCCGGGATTCCGGCCGTGTGCTTGCTTGCACCCAGGCGCGTTCCTGGTGTGCCTGCTTCACGCGCTCCTTCAAAGAACACAGTTAGTACGGAAGCGTACAAACGGATCTCAGACCTGAGAGAAGTGATTTTCGGAGCACAGGCTACTTCGGGTACCCCCGTCCGGAGTACCCCGATGGTGGGCCGGCTGGCTGCACTCGCGGGCCAGTCCTCCCCTTTCTCCTGGTCCCCGAGGAAGGGAGGGCCGAGGGGAGACAGAGGCTCGCAGAGCGCTCCCCGGGCTCAGAGGGGAGGGGAGATGGTGCCAGGCTCTGCTGAGAGGCGAGGTGGAGCGAGGCCAGGAGGGCCTCCCGGGGCGGGGTCCGGCTGACGCAGCCTCCGGGTCTCCGGGTCTCCATGCAGGCACTGCGGGTCATGGGGAAGATGATGCGAGAGTGCTGGTACGCCAACGGCGCGGCCCGCCTGACTGCCCTGCGCATTAAGAAGACCCTCTCACAGCTCAGCGTGCAGGAAGACGTGAAGATCTAAGCCTCTCCCTCCCCACACGCAGCCCTGGCAGCGGGAACTACACACAGCTGCCGCGTTGAGCGTACGACGGAGGCCTACCTCTCGTTTCTGCCCAGCCCTCGGTGGCCAGGAGCCCTGGTCCCAAAGAGGGACAGAGCCCGGGAGACTCCCTCACTCCCATGTTGGGTTTGAGACACAGACACCTTTTATATTTACCTCCTAACGGCACGGAGACTCTGAGAGCGGATGGTGTGGAGAACTCGATGCCACAACTCGAACTGGCTGTAGTGGGAAGTCCCGCAAAACCCGGTGCGTCTGGCGGATAGCCAGGGTGGCGACGGGCCCCCCCCCCTCCCCCCAGAGGACCCCGGGGGAGCCGCGTGTCGCCATTGCTGAACAGCACCAACGGTGTCCTCCAGGGACCAGCTCCGCCGGGGCGGGCGGCGCTCTGCGGTGGCCCAGAGGAGCCACGAGTACAGCCCCTGACACGGGCAGCTCTGGGCCCTGGGCTCCCCTCCTGTCTCACGCGGGCCTCCGGAGGGACCGCCGGTGGAGGCGGGGCCTGCCGCCTGTCTGTCCAGCCGTGTGTGCATGTGCCGAGGTGCGTCCCCTGTTGTGCCTGGTCCGTGCCACGCCCTTACACGTGTGTGTGTATGTGTGTGTCTGTAGGTGCGCACTTACCTGCTTGAGCTTTCTGTGCATGTGCAGGTCGGGGGTGTGGTTGTCATGCCGTCTCTGCGTGCTGGTGCCTCTGTTTGGTAGTGAGCAGCGTCTAGTCTCCCTGGTGCCCTTCCCGAAGGTCTCTCTCCTGGCCCCTTCCCCCCAGAACCCCCACGCCATGGCGGGACCCCCTTCCCAGCGGGCTGCTCCGCCTGCCCATGTGTCGGCACCTCCATTTCAGACCGTGGAACCAAAGCTGGCCCGGTTGTCCATGGCAGGCGGGGGAGATTTTTGGGTCCAAATGTGAGGCAGGGACAGGCGGGGGCGGGCAGGGAAAGAATCTCGGTGGAAGTCTCGGGTGTTGTGGTCAGCGGCAACCGTGGGAAATGAGCCAGCCCAAGGGCATCATCCTCAACAGCATCAAGAAGGGCCAAGGGACTTGAGGCCCTGATCCTGGGACTTACATTGGAATGTCACATCTGTCTTTCATATCCCAGATTCTGGAAACAGCAGTGTATATTTTTGGTGGTGATGGGTTTAGGGTGGGGAAGGGGAAGGGGGGGCAAGCAGTGGGGGGGGAGTCGGGGTGGGAGGGAGGCATCTGCATGGGTCTTTTACTGGATTATCTGATCGCGGTGGAGGGGAGATGGGAGACACGTACCCACTTCAGGGGCCTGTGAAAGGGAAAAGCCCGAGCCAAACCTGTTATTTTAACCTGAGTATAGTATTTAATGATGTCTAGAAGCACGGTTATGGGTGGTGGTTTGGTCAGCGTATCTTAGGTATATAATAACTTTGAAGCCATAACTTTTAACTGGAGTGGTTTGTTTTTCTTTTCTTTTCTTTTCTTTTCTTTTTTCTTTTCTTTTCTTTCTTCTTTTTCCTTTCCTTTTCTCTTCTTTTTTCTTTTTTTTTTAATTTTATTGGAAGGGTCTGAATTTTAACTTTTTTTTAATATTGTTAAGTTTTTATAAAAGGAAAACCATCTCTATGTGATGATTACCTCTTTGTTTTTAAAGAAATTGCTACAAAACAACCACAAAAAAAAAAAAAAAAAAGTGCTCCAATCAAGCGCACATAGCTCAGTCACACTGGAAATGTTTGTCCTTGCACCTGAGCCTGTTCCCACCGAGCAGCGAGAGTCCCTCCCTCTTTGCCCTGGAGGTTAGTCTCTCTTGCACTGTGCCCCCCACCCCTCAATTCTGTGAGTGGATTTTGCTTCAGGGCCCTGGCCTTTTGTGCATTGTCCAGCCGGTTGCACCTTCTCCTCCAGGCATTTACTCAACAGATGTTTGCTGCGTACCTGTTGTGTGTCAGGCACTGTGCTGGGCACTTGGAATACGTATGTGAGCAAGACAGGCTTGGGTCCTACTCTTGGAACACTGAAGAAATTGCCGATTCAAGTTAGTGGGTGCCTGTTTCAAGACCAGAAGTTTGTACCGTTGGTTCTGAGAGCCTTTTGAGCCTGGAATGATTGCTCTTAGAAAAGACCACCAAGGACCAGGATCCCTCCATCCCCCCAAAGAGCCCTGCAGTGGGCAGTGAGACCCTAAATTACTGCATTCATTCTGAGCCCCCTTCCTGCCCCCAGGGGAGGCATATGATGTCTGCAGCCTGAGAGCATGCCTGCCTCCAGCCCAGTGATTCTCTGCCAAAGCTTGTGGAGGAGGGGCACGCCTCTCCCTGCTTACACGGGTCTCCCAGATGCTCCCGGTCTTCCTATTTATTTTCCTGATGTGTTGCTTCTTCCCTTGCGTTAAAGGAGATCTTCGCCTCACCCTTTGGGCCAGTTTGCTGGCTACTGACTAATTTCCCTCGAATACCAATGGTGTCATTAGGGGGACCTTCTTTCCCCAGCCCTGCTGACCCCCCACCTACCTGCTCTGCAGCAGACCCGGGCAGGGTGTGGGTAGTAATGGAACTTAGACTCCTGTGCCCCGGTCACAACCAGCCTCTGGGATCTGCCAACACTCCTCGACCCAGGGACTCCCAAGCCTCTAGCCCTCTCCCCAGGGGGACCTCCTGGCCTCACCACACCTCGGGGAAGACTGAGCAGTTTTTTGGGAAGCTCCCACCCCTGTCCCCATCGCTCTTAACACCAAGGGTTAGGAGTTAGAGAGTTGGGGAGAAACTAAAGCCTAAAGCCGTGGTGTTTGGCCCCTGGGGCTAACTAACCCTGATCCGTAGGGCTACCTACACCTCTGGATTCTGGATTCACAGACCAAGTCAAAGCCCGTTCTTACGTCGCCATCAAGGCCCCCGAACGGCATTCTCGGTACTTCTGTTTGTTTTTGTACATTTTATTAGAAAGGACTGTAAAATAGCCACTTAGACACTTTACCTCTTCAGTATGCAAATGTAAATAAGTTGTAATATAGGAAATCTTTTGTTTTAATATAAGAATGAGCCTGTCCAATTTCTGCTGTACATTATTAAAGTTTTATTCACAGAGCTTTTTGGTGCCCTCTGTCTTCCATGTGTGTAGACTGACCGCCCAGCTCTTGTCAGGGGAGCAGGGAAGGGAGCAGACGCGTGCTGAGGTGGCCTTGCTGCCTTCCTCGTTGGCCGGAATGACGACAGCATGTCAAGCAGGTCGCATCAGAAGAGGAGCCAGTCTGAGTGCAGGGTCTCCCCTCCCTGAAACACCGGGAGCGGCCTGGCCTGGAGTGTGCAGGGCAGGGGGGTGGGGGGTGGGGTGGCGCAAACCACACACGTTTTCTTGGGCTTTGTCTGTGTCTGCCTTTGTCTTTCAGCATTTTTTTCTCTGTACAAAAGAGGATCTCGATCCTGGTGTGTCAGCAGCCACCTAGCCTTGAAGGCTGCCTAAGAGCCCTGCTCAGATTGTGCTTCTCCCCTTGTACATTGGAGAATAAATGCGAATCTCGGGGGACTCGGGTGATTTGAGGTGGGAGTCTTCCCGTGCTTCGTCGTCTTTTCAGTGTGTGGGTGGCGGGGCAGATCTTTCCTCCTCTCGGCCGCGGGAACCCAGGATAGCGAGTCCTAGAGGCGCAGAAGCTCAAGTTTAGCCGGGACCCTAGAGGCCGCCTAGTCCCTCGGCATCGGGCACTGGACTCCCCTGTAGCATCCTCCCCGTGCTGGCAGGCCCACGCCTTCACCCGCAGGCCATCTGCTCAGTAGCAGATGTGGAACTGGAAGCCTCCAGGTGACTTCTCCTCAGGTGGTTGAGAGCGGTCCCTTTCTCTTCCATATAAGGTCCCTTCAGTTAACATTAGTTAGCATTATTGAAAACTTACTGTGTGGCTAAGCAATGAACCCAGAGTTGATCTGTGTATATTAACTGCTCCAATCCTCAGACAGCATTATTATCCTGTCTTTACAGATTAGGAACGGAGGAGGGTCGGAGAAGTTGATAAATTGTCAGCGTAGCTCACAGGGTGGAAAAGACCTTGGGTCCAGGGTGTCTCATCCCAGGCTGCAGCCCCTAAGCCGTCTGTACCTTCCTGCCTGCACGGTCCCATGTCCCTCCCCCCCCCCCCCCCCCCCACCCGCTCCCCACCGAACCCAGCTAGAGCCTGGAGCCTGGAGGGCACACGACATTCCATCCAGGCAGTAACTGAAAGCACAGGCTGGGATACGAATCCCAGACTGTGCCTGACTCCTGCGGGTCACATCCGAGGACCCCAGGACTGCATCTCATGGGCTGAGGAAAGCCCAGCCGCCTTGTCCTTCAGCCCACGTATGGGAAGTTGGTATTTTGAACTCAAGTGCAAGACCTTCTATGTTTACCCTGTTAAATTTATCAGAGAGTGTGCTCGTTGCTCCCAGCCTGTCAGTATTTAAAAATTCTGACTGTTGGGGCACCTGGCTGGCTCAGTCGGTAGAGCATGTGACTCCTGGGGTTACAAGGTCGAGCTCCGCACTGAGTGTAGAGATTACTTAAGATCTAGGGGCACCTGGGTGGCTCAGTCAGTTAAGCGTCCGACTCTTGATTTTGGCTCAGGTCACAATCTCAGTTCGTGGGTTCAAGTCCTGTGTCGGGCTCTGCACTGACAGTGTGGAGCCTGCTTGGGCTTCTCTCTCTCTCTCTCTCTCTCTCTCTCTCTCTCTCTCTCTGGGGG